TGGCTGGGGAATTCTGGGAGTTGAAGTCCACAGGTCTTAAAGTCGCTGAGATTGAGAAACATTACTTTCGATTATTAAACAACCCAATTTATAGCTCTGCAAAGCAGTGAGAGTAAACTCCCGAAAACTCCGCAGTAAAAATTGGATTCCCTGGCTAGTTTTTACGGGAATTTAAGATATACTGTACTGGGTGTGTGTGTTTGTGCCTGCATGCAAGAGGGAGTGTTTAAATTTATTTGTGAGGAATCACATCCTTTTAAATATTCACACGTGGCCTTAGCATTTTAGATAACCTGACTCACCGGTAGGCTTCCTGTTTTGCTAGTAGTTCATATCTCCGATGTTGTAAAAGCAATTGATTATTTGCATCCATGTGCACAATTTTAGCTGCAAAAAGAGAGGTGGCCAATTGGCTGGTTAGAATGATTTCTAAGCTGCCTGCTTTGTTTTCTTCCTTCTGCCATGCTGAAAGAACAGAAGTTCAGAATATCACCATCCTCTTGTACGTTAAAGGTAATAATTTGTGGCTGTAAAGTATGTCGGAACCTAGCTCGGGGCAGCTGCGTACCCCTTAAAACTCCCCAGTCAGATGGTGCTTTCCAATAGCTGTCACGGAAGGCAGAAATTCCCCTGGAAATTCCACCTTTCCAAGTTTCTCAACGGGGCTTTTCCGTTATTGTCCCTCGGCTTTTAGGTCAGCTGTCCTTACGGCCTTTCTTATGCTGCATTCATGTCGTTTTAATTGTGTTTTGATCTGTTAGCTGTCTACAGTCACGACGGTGAGATGGCTAGCTGTGCAAACCAGATAAATCGTACATTTCTGTACCAGGGAGGACAAAACTATAGCTGAGGATTCCTGCCTGTCTTGAAGCTGGAGGCGATTCAAGGATCCTTCGCCACACTTCTCTGGGCCAGCACAAGCTGCAGAGGCTCCATTTCTTACGCTTCCTAAGAAATCACCCCCTGGTTTTGTAACTTATCTGTCTACTAGGAAAACGTTCAGAAATAAAACTGGCAGTGCTACAAAGCTGCTGAACCGTATCTGGACTATTCATTATACAGCACTGTTTTTCAAACTTGGGACCTTTAAGATGGGTGGACTTCAACTCCCAGAATTCCCCAGCCAGCTCGATCCCTTCCAAGGCCATATAGCCCGTCAGAACACAACTCAATCACGACTGCTGTACTTTGGATTTCTCCCCTGGGTCCGACGGACAAAAATAAAATGAAATGAAGAAGGAGGAGAACTTGACATGGACCTTCCATGCAATGCAAAGCCTCGTAGAAGATGGGAAGGTCTCACCTGTCCCTTCTCGGAGCTCGGAGGTGGAGTAGCCCAGGATCCACTGGTAGCAAGGGAAACGGTGGGTCTGCCCCTGGGGCGTCTCCACTTCGAGGAAGCTGCAGTTCCAGTTGGTGGGGGGGAAGAACCTGTAGGGCTCCTTATGAAGGCGGACCAGCAGAAGTGCCCCCAGCTCCCTCGGGGTTTCGACCACGAATTCCTCTACCTGGGAAACCCAAGAGGAAAGCTGAAATGGATCTGGCAGCTGGGAAGCGCCTTCTCCCACTTGCTTGCCCTCCAGATATCCTGGACTACGATCCCCATCAACTCCCGTCATTGTTGGCTGGAGATGATGGGAGTCGGAGAAGGCAAGGCTAGAGAACCAGGAATGGTCTCCGAGTTGCAATCCAACATCGCCTACGGGGTCTGTTGGGTGACAGCAGGCCATTGTGCTCCTTCGGCTTCACCTACCTTATAGAGCTGTTGTTGTGGGGCTCAACGGGAAGGTAGGATGAGCTGTGTCGGTGGGGTCAAGCTCCACAGAAAACGTTAGGATGCAAATAAACAGGAAAATCTCCTTTCGGTTGAGACTGGGACTACCCAGACGCAATCACGTAGATTTTTTGACAACCGTACAGGAGATGTTTGCTACCTATTTGCTTTGCCCGATGTGCTCTTTCCAACTTCTCTAGTTTGGGGCTTTCATTGTGGTCCCCCATCCAAGTCTGATGCGGGCTGACTTGATTTGCTTAATAGGAAAATCTCTCTTTATTCCCCAAAAGCAAACAAGCCAAAATTCAACTCGGCTCCCTTCTGCTACCCGAGATACAAAACCTGCAGCAACTGGCAGAGGGGCCCTAATTTTAGGCCCCGTTTCAGGGCAGAACTTGACGTATTCCTGAATTCCAGAACGGTGAGACTTTCCCTTCCCATCTCTTATCTTCTTCCCTGGGAAGAGGAGGCACATGCAAGAATGTGCATGTCGCAGAGCTTGGAGCACGTCCAACCTTCCACCTCCACTCCCTTCTGCAAATAAAAAACATGCCAGAGACTTAAGTGGCGGAACAAGATTAAAGTTCTGCTCGGATCTGGTATAAGAAAAGCACCGTTGCACCGTTCTTACACTCAGGAGGAAAAAAAAATCTCCGGTTCCAGTATGGTTATCAGGTGAGCGAGAATGGGGCAGGGTTGAATTGGCTCCTCCCAACCCCTAGTTGTGGGCGGCAAACTGAGGGGAGGATTATTTCAGCCCCTCGTTGGACGGAGAGGAGACTAAGTTAGCAAATTTTTAAAAAAAGCAAAAAAAATTAGCAAAAAAGGAAACAGAAAAGCCTTGCTCCTTTTCTCCTGCTGGCGTTGGGGTCCCTGCCCCGCACAAAATGGGGACCCAAATATTTTAAATTTTGGCTCAGCCCTTTGTGTGCTGGAAAGACAAGCCGCTGCTTGAATTAGGAGGAGTCTGGTGGCATCTTTGCAAGCTAACAAATGTAGTTAAAAGGCAGAAGCTTTTGTGAGCTGCAAAAGCTTCTGCCTTTGAACTACATTTATTAGCTTGGAAAGATGCCGCCAGACTCCTGATTTTGGGGTACCCTGGACTAATTTGGCTCTCCCCCTATAATGCACACAAGACGAAGCGCAAAATTCAGTCCCATGGAGAGGAAATCCATAAGGCATCTGATGGAGGGGGCTGTGGGTCCGGAAAACTTCTGCCTTTTCATAAAATTGGTTACTGCAGTCGGAAACGGCGCTCCCTGCCTCTTCCTGATTTTCTCTGACATTCTCCTCCTACAAAACCCCTCCTCGAGCAGCAGTGACAGGGTGAGATTAGCAGAGGATAATCTCTTCCTCTTCATCCCGTTGAGCAAGATCTGCTGTGATTTCTCCAAAAACTGATGCTATCCTTGCCTGCCAAAAGCCCAACGCTCAGCCTGTTCGGATAGGAATGGGGAAATCTGGAAAACGTGAAGTGTAGGGTGGCAAGATCTGCCCTGCAAAGGTCAGACGACCACAAGATGTCAGCAGAAAAAAGAAAGAAGGAAAAAAAATCTTTTCTTTGCTGCCCTCTAGTGTGGCCAAGGAGATCTCCCTCCCGAAGAACCCCCTGGCAGTCTGCAGGAACGAGGCAAAGGATGATGGGAGCGGTAGTGACATCTGGAGCCTCAAAGGCTGCCTCCCAAATTACTAAACTTCCAAGCACTTACTTCTCCAGGAGAAAAATCTTTCCCATATTTATCCAGCTGAAACTTGGGACTCTCCCCGTGAGTTCCCACCAAGGTGATGGAGATGGAATCCATGGTCCCGCCGAAGAAGTAGTCGCCGGTGGCCGCTCGGATTTTGTAGGTGACCGCAGGAACTGCTGCCATGGTGGCCGGTGACGCTGATGGAGAAGAAGGAAAGAGAAAAGAAAGAGAGAGGGAGGGAGGGAGAGAGAAAATATCACCCCAAAATGTTTGTCTTCCTTTAGCGCCTGGAATTTGTCTATATAAACAAGAGGCCCAGCAAGATGACCCACTGGTGTGCCTTGGAGGGATGAAGCTGGTGAGAAAATACTGTCCTGGTCATGAGGCTCCTGGATGGGGCCCTCCCTAATCCACCACACCTTTGTCCCTCCAGTGACAAATGCAACTGCTCCCCGGCAGACAGGAAGGGCCACAGCGCAAGGCGAAGTCATCCGACGAATGCTGGAAGAAAACAGGTGCCAATGTTTCTGGAAGCCAGCTAAGCACTTCCCACCATCCATAATCATCGAGGCAGGAGGGTGCCCTGAAGGTTGTTGAGCCCAGCCCTCTGCTCAACGCATGAGCTTCCACAGATGGCGTCTCGCCTCAAGGATCTCTGCTCAGAAAGTGTCCACCACCTCCAGGGGCTGTTGGAGATCACTTTTCCACCAGCACGGACCATTCTGAAATTTCTCCTCAGGGCGAGCTGAAATTCCTCAGCAATTCCACTGATGGGTGTAATCCTGTTTGCTTCATCTTCCCTTCTCAAGTGAAACATAACCTGCTCTTTCAACCGTTCCTTGTTGGACATAGTCTGCAAACACTTCACCATTCAACTTGCCCTTTTTTATGACACTTTCAGTGGATAACCATCTGGTACCCAGAACTGGATGCTGATGTGGATTTGGTTGGTTGAGAACCGAGTGAAACCACGATTTCTGGAGACCCTGAGCTGTGGTTAAGGCAGCCAAGGGCTGCCTGTCCCTTTGGTCTGTTGCATCAGATATACAACCCTGGTTCCCGTTTGGCATGGGACCTGCTAAGCTCCTCCTACCCCAGCTGTCTTTTGAAACATAGAGATATACTTTAAAAACCTACAGGCAATCTTTGACATTAATTGCCATTGAACTGACTGTTAGGGCCTAGAATTCAGCAGCCCCGAAGATTTTGAAACTTGATTTTGTCTTCTGACCCCTCCCAGCTTTGCATCATTGCAAAATCTGATAAATAGCCCTCTTTTCTCTTTCTCTTTCTCTCTCTCTCTCAGTTCTGCCATTCGAAAAGAGCGTTTTGAGCACCGAGTGCAAAATGCTCCAGGGATTGGGACCTTTCACTGGTTTGACCCAGAGCCGTGGGGAGCCCGCTGACATATTATTACAGCAGAAGCCTGAAGGATTTTGCAGTCTGGCCAACTGCTTAAATATTTAATTCTGCAGACCTGATCGGGGAGATCCAGAAGAGGGAAGCCATCACGCTGTGCTGCATTAGCCAACTGGCTGGTTTCATGCCGCCTAATGCTAAAATCAGAATAGATTTTTCCAGGGGGCTGGTGCACCATGAAAGAGCCCCTACTCTAGGCTGGGGCACTATGAATGACCCTGAAAATAACCCGAGCCTTTGGAGGTGTCCAGGTGAAGCTGTCCTTTCTGCTTGGAAGCTGCTGTGGTCAACGCTCTGTAATGGCCATGGGAGACAGGAGGAAGAGCCGCAGACTAGGCAACGGTCAGATAAGAGGCAGCTGAGCCCTCAGAAGCAATGGGAACGTGGGAAAGAAGACCATTTGGAGCTGTGTTGAAATCCGACAGGCCCAAGGGATGGACGGATGTTGAGCAAGTGGTCGCTATTGCAAAAAAGGGTTGAAATAGGCAGTCCTTTGTCCTCCGTTACCTTGGGGATTTCGACCAGCCTGCTTGTTCCTCCCATCCTAACACTCATCCTCTGTGCCCACCTAAACAACGACACTCAAGCCTGAATCTTGGAAGCGCAAAGACGGCAAGGGGAGATGGGGGAATCACCTGAAGGAGGTGCGAACCCTGGAACACCCGGCTGCAAATATTTTGCTTCCTTATACCCGGAAAAGAGACCTTCAATTCCCTTCTGAGGCAAAGGCATCATTTTCTTGCTTGGGGATGGAAAGCCAAGCCCTAAAAGAATTTTTTGAAATATCACCCCCCATCTCCCTGCAGAGCGACTTGAGAGCCAATCAGGAAATTCTTTAGTCATTCTTTAGTCATCCCTGGTCACTTATTTTTAAGATGTAAATAGGAAACATATGAGAATCTAAGCCAAAGTTTCTCAACCTCAGCTACTTTAAGATGTGTGGACTTCAACTCATGCTGGCTGGGGAATTATGTGTGGACTTCAACTCATGCTGGCTGGGGAATTATGTGTGGACTTCAACTCATGCTGGCTGGGGAATTATGTGTGGACTTCAACTCCCAGAATTCCCCAGCCAGCATGAGTTGAAGTCCACACATCTTAAAGTAATTGAGGTTGAGAATCACTGACCTCAACAACAGCTCACCATCAGTTACCATTGTTTCTTGTCAAAAGGCCTCCTTGTGCCTGGGGTGCATTGTACGCAACTTTGACAACGGGTGCAGTCAACTTCTTGCTTCCATGAGAGATCAGCCTCGGTGGCCACAAGGAATCCTGGGTTCAGATGCATCTTTGGGGCACTGTCGTGTTCCCAGTTTTGCCAGCTGTGCAACGGGCATAAGTAATGTGGTATTGCAGGGACCCCAGCAAGTGCAGAGCCAGCAGAGGGGGACAGACGAACTAAACAAGGCTTGGCTGGCCCTATCTTTTGACCTTACATTCTTCTCTCTTGTTCCCTCTCCAGACTGTAACCGAGCAACATTAAACCAGGTTTAATTGAGGGCGTCTGGCCCGAGGATTCTCTGTTCACCTGTTCAGTTTTAAAGAGCAGCCTCCAATCGCAAGCAACAGCAGGGTGAATCAAAGATGTTTTCTTCTCCAAATTGTGCCCGAAGCTGCTGGAATTTAATTGTGTGTTTCGGCACCCTGTCGCTCCTCCCTTTGACTTTATTAAGGCTTGTTTGGGAGTAGCAACTCAGCCCTGCCCGGCCTTCCCCGGTTAAGGGCCCTCCAGAAGTTTTGATGGCAACATCCATCATCCCAACCAGAGCAACACATCTGGGTGGAGGGTGTGCACATCTGTCCACAGAGCCCAATTATGCACCAGCATTTTATTATTCCCGTTTTTTGGGGTGGGGGGAGGGAAGGAAGCTGAGAAGGCAAAGAGGAAGGGAACTGGGTGATGATGATGACGACGACAATGTGCAAATAAAACAAAGTCCTGGAATCAGACCAGGGTTAAAACTAGCCAAGCTTGGTGTGTTGTGTGAAGGCAGCTGCTGGGTCTTTATGTGACCTGAGAAGGAGTCTTGGGTGAACTCCAGCGGGCTGGAATCCACCTGCATATCAAACATCTGTTTGGGCAACCTGTAGATTTGCCTCCATTGTAATTACTTGGGCTTCCTGCTAAACTGGTTGTTTGTAAAGAATTCCCTCATCTGGCACCTGCTGGTTCTAACTGGAGATTGGCAGGGGATGATGGGAGTTGTCATCCATCGCAGACAGGCAGAGAAAGGCTTGTAAAAAAATCCATGTATGCCTCAAAAACTTTGGAGCTGTTTGTTCAATCTGGCCAAGGCTGATAGGCTCTCCCATCCTGACCATGGATGATGGGCAGCAGAAGACTGTGGGAAGCATCAGGAGAGGTCCTATTGCAGTTTCCAGATGGAGAAACTCTTGAGCTGGGCCTCCCTGGGTTCAAGACGAGTGAACTAACGGTGACTTTGGGCCCGTCCTTCTTTCCCAGCTCAATCTACCTCACAGAGTTGTTGGGGTTGTAGAGAACAAAAAGGGACGGAGCACCATGAAACCCATCATAAGCTTCTCAATTAACTAACTAAGTTAAACAGCAAAGCAAACAACACTTCTAGACTTTGGCATGTTGTGCTAGTTGCCAAACTGCAGGTTTGTGCCGATAGTCTAGGAGCGCACATGCTTGGTGTGGCCACACATGATGGCGATTCCACGAGGAGACCCCCTGGATGTGACTGATGGAATTGTGGCTCTCCCAGGACAACTTAGTCAACACTTCAAAATTTGGTATTTGGAGATTGAATGATGCAACGCAGACTGACAGGGAATTTGTGCAGAGCTTCTGAAAGGGGCAATGCTTGCTCTGGGGAACTGGACCAAACCCCAAGTTGCTTGCATTTGAGCAAGATGAAGCCCCTCAAGGGCTGGGACCCCACAGCAAAGCAAGGTTGGAAGGAGTGGCTGGAAGTGAGAACCAGGGAGGTCCTGTGGTCATTTCTCAGGTCTTCTGAGATGACCTTGGAGTGGAAGGAGGTGGCCAAAGCCCCTTTCCAAGAGGAAGGGTCCAGCAAAATATCTCCAGTGTCTTTCCCCAGCCTTTCAAACAGGTTGGATTCCAACTCTCCTCACTCCCCCCACCCCAAGGACAAGATGCCTTGCAAGGCCCAGGTTCTCCACACTCTTGGGTCTCACCAGGGCTCCCTTCCTGTCCGCACAGGGAAGACCAGTCAGGAACTCTTATTATTCCCATGACCCATGGGTGGGTTTTCACTTGCCTTCCTTGCCCCCACGGGAAACCCAACCCTGCACCGGACAGACCTTTGCCCTGATCCTCTCTCCAGATTCTCCTCCTCCTTAAACGTGGTGCTGGTTCCACCCGGACGGGAGACCTCTGGAATTCCTGGGTCTCAATTCTGTGATTTCTCTAAGAAAATCCCAGAGACTGTTTCTGCAAAGGTCTCACCCTCGGTACATTTATCCAGTCGCCCTTAAAAGCATCCAAGCCAGGCTTCTACAATGCTATATTCGCACCCTGCAGCCATCATAGCTACTGGGAAAGATGGCTGGAAGGTGAGGGGAATTGTTGTCCAATATTTCTAGAGAATGCCAGCTTGGGGAAGGATAATCCAAGCTGTTGCCCACCACCATGACTTGGGAAGGCCTTAAACGCATGTCATTGTGGATTCTATGCGTTCTTACTTTTGGCAGCTGCCCATCTGCTTCATGGGGTGCCTTCCTCACTCGGAATTGGATGAATCTTGGATCTGCAGATCAAGAACGCCCCCTTCTTGGGCTGGTCTGTCTGTTGAATCCTGCTGGATCCAACAGGGTTCTGGTTCCCACTTTCCCATGTGAGAGAAGCAAGTTTTTTTTTCCCCCTGCTGATCTTGCCAGCCTCTGTGATTCCTCCTCTCTTTCCAGCCCTGACTGCCTGCTCACCTTGAATCTGGAGCAGCTTCAGCTCCTTCTCTGGATAATCCAGTGTTAATGCATTCCACAAGGCGTTTTTTACATATTTAATAGCACCAAGACTGCCCTGGGAAACCGGTCATTAAGTGAGCAGACAATTGCAGGGGATGAGTAAAAACAGATGACTGAGCAAGGAAAAATTAAAGGCTTCCATCACGGATTTCCTCATCTCCATCTCCCCCACCTCAGAGGGAGGATGCAAAGAGAGAACAGCTCAAACAAATGTTTTTTTTTCCCCCTGCTGGATCTTTTCATAGGTTACCTGCTCCTATCATAGCTTAGGCAAATATAAATATGGAGGTATCAAGGCAATGTGGAATGTCGTTTACCCATGTACGGATCCGGGGGATAATGATGAAGATTCTTGTTATTTACAATTACTAAGCTCGTGTTACTAGTCCTGATGACATAAACTTTGGAAATACTGGGCGATTATTAAATGTACAAAAAAGAGAACCAGTCTGGGTTGAGTTTCCAGAAATAAGAGCATTAGTTTTGCAACAGAGACAATCCCTTCTCCATCCTTACTGGATTTCTTTGATCTCTTGTTTTGTCTCACGCGCCAGCCCATCCTTCCCCTCCTTGCATGTCCCCAATAAGCAGCTGAATGTCCCCCCCTTTCTACCCCCCGCC